ATCAAACATATAACAAAGAATAATTTTTCGCACGAAATATTTAGCAGACTTTTTCACACGAAATATTTAATTGAGACAAATTTTTTATTTTGAGAATTCAGTCTGGTTTATAATTATATCGCATATCAGGTTTAAAAATCTGTGCACCATATGATAATTCTTAAAAAATTATACCTTGATTTTTAGATTCAGTGAGAGAAATAATGTGGAATCAAATAAGTAGAAATTATTGCAAATTTGAAGGTATTTGTTAGTAAGGGAGTGGTCGAATTTTAATGTCGTTCCTCTCTCGTGTTTGGCAAACTTCCTAGGGTCCAAAGGACCGTACATCCCTGGAACGGGGGAGAAACCAGTTCCGACGAAGAATGTAAACGGAATATCGAGTCCTGTTAACCTTTTCGTCCTACTCACCTGTTCGGGATATATCAAAGTTATCATTCTACCGAAATGCAGTTTTCGCAAATTCACCTCTGTTCAATATCTGCATACGCACTTCTACGCGCTCTAATTCCACGCACCGTAATTCCACGTATTATAATTCCACGCGTTATTAATTCTACGCGACGTAATTCCACGCGTCGTAATTCCACGCGCCGTAATTCCACGCGTTATTAATTCCATGCGTTGTAACTCCACGCGTCGTAGTTCCACGCGCCGTAATTCCACGCGTCATTAATTCTACGCGTTGTAATTCCATGCGTCGTAATTTCACGCGTCGTAATTCCATGCGCCGTAATTCCCCGTACATGGAATTACGACGCGTGGAATTAATAACGCGTGGAATTATAATACGTGGAATTACGGTGCGTGGAATTAGAGCGCGTAGAAGTGCGTATGCAGATATTGAACAGAGGTGAATTTGCGAAAACTGCATTTCGGTAGAATGATAACTTTGATATATCCCGAACAGGTGAGTAGGACGAAAAGGTTAACAGGACTCGATATTCCGTTTACATTCTTCGTCGGAACTGGTTTCTCCCCCGTTCCAGGGATGTACGGTCCTTTGGACCCTAGGAAGTTTGCCAAACACGAGAGAGGAACGACATTAAAATTCGACCACTCCCTTACTAACAAATACCTTCAAATTTGCAATAATTTCTACTTATTTGATTCCACATTATTTCTCTCACAGTGGAATTACGATGCGTGGAACTACGATGCGTGGAATTACGATGCGTGGAATTACGATGCGTGGAATTACGATGCGTGGAATTACGATGCGTGGAATTACGATGCGTGGAATTACGATGCGTGGAATTACGATGCGTGGAATTACGATGCGTGGAATTACGATGCGTGGAATTACGATGCGTGGAATTACGATGCGTGGAACTACGATGCGTGGAATTACGGCGCATGGAATTAATAACGCGTGGAATTACGGCGCATGGAATTACGACGCGTGGAACTACGACGCATGGAATTACGACGCGTAGAATTAATAACGCGTGGAATTATAATACACGGAATTACAATGCAAGGAATTACAACGCGTGGAATTACGACGCGTGGAATTACGACGCATGGAATTACGACGCGTAGAATTAATAATGCGTGGAATTATAATAAGTGGAATTATGGAGCATGGAATTAGAGCGCGTAGAAGTATTTTGAATAAAGAAATTAATTTCGGCAAAATAATTCATAATGTTCCGTGACGCCTGCAAGAAATTGTGAACATGTTTTGTGTTCTAGTAAAGAGAGGTAGTCTCGAACGGTAGCACATTCGTTGCACAACGAGTGATACACGCAATAAAGTGAATATACGAAGACGGAGAAGGCTGAAACGCGAGCCAGCCTGCGAAGAGATTCGTTTCCTCGATTCTCCGCGAGCGCATAATAAACTTTAAAGCTGGCAAGACGACTCAAATGCATCCGAGAGAGTGTGCACGAGCCCACGATAGCGAGTAGGTGGCTAACCTTGACGACCACTTATACACGATCGGCACTTGTGCGCGCGCACACAAACAGTTCAGCTTGAACGAGTTGTTGCAACGAATGCAGACACGCGACGATCTTAGGATATACTGTATGTCCGGTTTAAGTGCATACAAACTATTGCTTCTTTAATTACGGACAAACAAGAAATATTGCGGACGGTGATTTCTGATACGATAGGGGAAATTTTATGTGATTGAAATGTAGATAAAGAGCTTTGTTATAGTAAGGTGGTGTTAGAGGGTGGAATTAGGGGATGTTATGGGACTTTAGATTCAATTCTGTTGTTAAAAGGATGGAGGGGTTGGTGGATATTGGGATTCAATTTAATGGGTTTGAATTTGATGTAAGTTAAGTAGGTTTCAATTTCTTGGGATTCAATTCCATGCAATTTGATTTGACACAGTTCAATTCTGTGCGATTCAATTCCAGGCAATTCGACTTGACATAATTCAGTTCCACGCAGTTCAATTGCATGCAATTCAATTCCACGCAGTTCAATTCCATGCAATTCAATTCCACACAGTTCAATTCCATGCAATTCGACTTGACATAATTCAATTCCACGCAGTTCAATTCCATGCAATTCAATTCCACGCGATTCCATTTGACATAATTCAATTCCACGCAAATCAATTCCATGCAATTCGACTTGACATAATTCAATTCCACGCAGTTCAATTCCATGCAATTCAATTCCACGTAGTTCAATTCCATGCAATACGACTGGACATAATTCAATTACACGCAGTTCAATTCCACGCAATTCCATTTGACATAATTCAATTCCACGCAGTTCAATTCCATGCAATTCGATTTGACATAATTCAATTCCACGCAATTCAATTCCATGTAATTCGACTTGACGCAATTCAATTCCTTGCAAGTCGATTTCATGCATTTCAATTCCAGGCAATTCGACTAGACATAATTCAATTCCATGCAATTCGACTTTACATAATTCAATTCCATGCAATTCAACTTGACGCAATTCAATTCCATGCAATTCGACTTGACGAAATTCAATTCCACATAATTGAACTTGACACAAATCAATTCATTACATTTCCAATGCGATTATAATTCAATTTCACCTCAATCTAGTTCAATGCAATTTCACAATTCGATTAACTCGCATTTCAATTCGACATAGTTCGATGCTTCTCCATCATACATCAAACTATTAAACTTCCCCATAAATCCTTAATATCCATCAAGTCAACGGTACTCCAAACTTCACCATACTATCGATACACTTCTATTTACCCATCCAATTAGAACTAGCAATCCAAAACCGTGATTACGAATCGAAAAACACCAAACTTGATCTCCTAGCATAAAATATTCAATCTAGAAAACAAGAGTTAAGTTTCTTTGCAAGTTTCTCCTCAAAAGTGAAACAGCGGGTGTGTCTAGTATAATACGTTGCGTGTGCCTGTACATATGTGTCGTAGCTAGTAAATCAAGGAGGTATCGGAACAGGTGCGGCAGGGGAAGACTGCTTTTGCTCGTGCACGTCCTCTGTTCCGTGAAAGGCTGTTGCAAGGATGTTTTTTTCTGCAGCGCGTGGTTTAACAAAGAAGTTTGCTAAAAACTAGCTTCTCTGAAATATTGATATACTTTTGCTTTTATTCTATAATACTTGATTTCAATTATAACTACTCCACTACTGCTATTTCTACTTATATTGATCATTTAGTTCAAGTTAGTTTTACAGAAACTGTAAAAGAAGTAAATTGCAGCAAGTAGATAAGTCCTGCGGTCAGACACATTGTCGGATCAGTGACGTAAAGTTCTTGTGGTCAGACATTGTTTGATCGGTGACGTAAACGGTCGCGGTCACTGATATGTTAGTTAAAGCACTCATTTTGTCAAAGTATTCTTTCAATTTTATTTCAGTGCAGATATATTTCGGTCACCTGGTAGAATCCCATGCAAGGCTCGCCGCGCACGCTCGACATTGCAAAGCATTCCCCTTCCCCTCCGGTTTCGACGATTTCCCTCACCCTTGCACTGGACGAGCCGTGGAGGGGACGGAAAGAGGGGAGGTCGATTCTCCCGTTTCGGCCGTGCACTAGAACTTGACTCCTAAGCTCGACAATGATGGCGCAAGCTCTATCCACGCTTCTCTTCTTTCCTCTCTTTTCTGCTCTTATTGTCTTCTGCCGCTTCCTTTCTCTCTCGTACCCCTTCTTCCGCCACGATGATCGCATCACACCGAACTCGCTCAAAGACCTCGAGCGGTAAGGTTACGTTTCTATCGTCCGGTGTTACCGCGTTTTTCATCGATTAACACGGGGTAATCCCAGGAAAAGTTCGACGATCAATTTCTCACGGATTTTTATCCTGATTCGCTGACCTACTTGTTCTCCTTTGCAATTTTTTATTTTTTTTTATGGTGCTAGGCATAAAATATAACAAGGTATTCTACCCTGCAATATTCATGTTGCACATAATCTTTTAATTTGTCCTTAAGATATTATTCAGTAATATAAATGTGTCACTAAATATTTTATAAATTTTATAAATTTGTATATTTTATATTATTAAAAACATTGTATAATTTATTTACATGGTACTTAATATGAATAAAACAATTCTATGATAATATACAAATTTGAATTTTAATAATTGCGTGAGTGTAGAATTGCTGATTTTAAATGTTACGCTAAAAATTTGTAATAAAGAGCTTTAAAAATTATGTCAGTTCACTATGAAAGCTAAGAAACTAGTGAGAAATGCAGAAGGACAAAACATTTTGTCAATAGTAACAATGACCGTGCTCGACATTATTTCCGCGAAGTAAAAGTGCAAGTAGAGGCGGAACGTAAGGCATCAGACAGAGGGGACTCGTTGCACTCCTTCCTCGTGTTCCCTTCTCCCTCTTGTCTGATCGCCACCACCTTTTCGTCCTCCATCACCTCCTCGTCCTTCACCTCCTCTCTGGGATCCTCTATCGGTCCCTCTCTTCCGTGGCTCTCCCTCCCTCCTCTTGCACCCTTCCCCTATCCTCCCTTTCCCCACTTCTCCTCCACCGGCTGCACGCTTACATGCAACGAGCCAGACCGGCCGGCTGGCACTCAGTTGCCTTTAGCGCCGTGCATCTCCAAGTTAGTCAGTCAGTCAGTCAGTCATTGAGTCAGTCGGGTCGACGTGCACCGCGCGGCGAGGTACTCTCCTAAATTACTCTCTCGACTTTCTCTCTCTCCTTTCTCGAGTCAACGTTTTTCTTCGCGTTTTATCGCGTTGACCGCGTGCTTCTCCGAACGGCACGTGTGTGCCTCTGCTCGTCGGGAAAAACGTGTTCTAGTCGCGTGCTTACGCCCCGTCGCTCGCTGTTTCCAGGAAGCCCCAATCGAGTGTGTATGTGTGATTTTATCAGGAAGATGCGTCGGAAGTTTCCACGTTGATAGGTGCGAATAAAAGGATTTCCTATTATTGCCCTTCGCAACCATCAAAAATTTCGAAGCGTATTCCGTTCACGGAAGGGATTTGCTTTTGGAATCCGAAATGAGATTGTGTTCTTTCTTCTAGGTTTTCGCGGTAACTGCGGGTTCAGATAAATTCGATTTTGATGGGAAGGTGATAGTGGATTCGTAGATTTAATTAGAATTGTGCAAGTGTGGATATCGGTGGGCGACGTTAGCTGAGTGCATAGGGTCGCGGATTGCAATTTGCGTGGCCCGGGTTCAAATCCCGCCCCGACGGATTTTACTATTTTTTCATAGATTTTCTATATTATTATAATTAATAATAGTATTATTTAATTAATACTATAAATGATATTAATAAAATAAATTAATTATTAAATCGATCAAAATATTCGTGCATACGAATCCATATCGTATGCAACTCATAATAAAATCGTATTAATAAAGTAAAATCAAAATCTCTGGTATTAATTAATAATACCGCTGTAATTATTAATAATGCATTTAATTAATAATACTATATTAATTTAATTAATAATAATATACATTACATAACGTGAATGAAATAAATAATTAGAAAAAGAATCAATGAAAGCCCTTAATTAAAAGATAATGAGACCCAGTTTCACGCAACAGTGTTTCCACAAAAATCATTGAACCCATTTCAAGAATGAAAGTGTGCAGTGTCGGAAGTTAAAATTGAAGTCCAACAGTTTAAGGTGCAGTGAAGTTCAATGTCAGAAAGGTTCGCGTGTTTATTATCTTTTCACGTGTGCAGTTCGAGAAGCGATCGACCGTTATGGATTAGGTGTGTTAGAGATAACCATGTTTGTTATTAATATCTAGATAAGCGTCTTTGACCCTCGTGTACAGCCATGTATATACCATAGTATTTCTGCTAGTATTGCGTCCGACTGCATTCGTTTCTTTTGCGTAACAATGTAACACGACCTTCGTGGATTAGTAAAGAAGGAATGTTGTACGTGTTGTGCTTCTTCTTTGTGTGCAATCTCGAGTGGTTAGATAAAACTCTTCTGAGGGATGTGATTTAATTACTTTTCGTTTTCATAAATAATTCTGTTGGTTGCATTATTTTAGGGTGGCATAATTTTCATACGATTTCAATGCAGATATAAATCTAATTTGCAACTGGAGATTTTTGCTAGGAAAGTGATCAGAGAATTTTTGAATCGATCGAAAGTTCGGTGCATCGTGACGTCACGAATATTTTGCATTATCTCTCCGGTGCCAAAAACCAAGTGTCTCTAAAAGTGTCGGTGGACATATCGATCGCGCAAACCTTATTGTTCCAGTGTCGTAATCAAACGTGACTTACGGTCACTTCTCGAATCGCACGTGCCCTCGAAATTCGCGTCTCCCGAAAAAAATCAGAAATAGAACGATCGATAGATTACGTAACGATTGAAAAAATTTGTGACACTCGAAATCGATTCAAAAGCGAAATTTATTTCGATGAATGTTATTTTTGGTGGATGTTCTACCGAAAATACAACCGTTATGAAACGGGGAATGCAATAAATATAATTCTTTTGCATATTTATGCGCATGGAGTACATTGGCTGCGCGTTCGTGAATCATCGTCCCCTAACTGAAAAAGTGCGCAGCTCGAGCTCACCCTTCTACTCTCGCTCTTGCATCTTCTACGCAGTACCTAAGGTCTCGTCTGACCTCTACTACTGCACCAAATGCAACGGCCAACTTTTTCTTTCTCTTAGCTTTCAGAAACGCACACAATGTTTCGTCTCGTCGAGTTGTAAACAAGTTTTCGCTCCTCGGCCTGGTATAGTTTCTTCGGTGCATTTGACGACTCTATTCTGCACTCTAATTTAAACCGAACATTATTTAAACACTTTAAAATGTTTATTGCAAATTTATTTAACTTCAGAATTTAAGGAAAGTTGAAGATATTTCAGTGAAGTCATTTTAAGAAGCTTCAGTACATTTATTTAAAATGATTCCAGTAAAATTGAAGATATTTCAGTGAAGTCATTTTAAGAAGCTTCAGTAAATTTATTTAAAATGATTACAGTAAAATTGAAGATGTTTCAGTGAAGTCATTTTAAGAAGCTTCAGTAAATTTATTTAAAATGATTACTGTAAAATTGGAGATGTTTCAGTGAAGTCATTTTAAGAAGCTTCAGTAAATTTATTTAAAATAATTACAGTAAAATTCAAGAATATACATTGAAGTCATTTTAGGAAATTTCAGTAAATTTATTTAAAGCAATTCCAATAAAATTCAAGAATATACAGTGAAGTCATTTTAGGAAATTTCAGTAAATTTATTTAAAGCAGTTCCAGTAAAATTCAAGAATATTCAGTGAAGTCATTTTAGGAAATTTCAGTAAATTTATTTAAAGTAGTTCCAGTAAAATTCAAGAATATACAGTGAAGTCATTTCAGGAAATTTCACTAAATTTATTTAAAGTAATTCCAGTAAAATTCAAGAATATTCACAGTGAAGACATTTTAAGAATCTTCAGTAAATTTATTTAAAATTATTTCAGTAAAATTTGAACAATTTCAGTGAAGTAATAAACTTAGTACGTTTTAATAAATTTTAATATGTTCAATTTAAGAAATTAAAAAAAGCACATTTAAGTCTTCTTTACACTTAAAAAAAAATTCACAAACATTTATATATGAGATCTTCCTGTTTACCTCTCACCCTAAAAATTGTTATTAACTGACCAGCAGCCATTTTGAGTATACTCATGAGATCACCTGTAACTAATCACCTAATTTCTGAAAGAAATTAGTACTTTAAATGTTTATTACTGCCAAGTTATATTTTCTCTAAGCACGATATAGTAAATAAAATTCCAGAATAAAGTAAATAGTTGGATAAATCTTTTGTTAGAACAAGTTGCGGTAGTAATTTGTACTTGCAGAGCACCCGTTGCGTATCGATTCGTCTTTCCCGGTAGACAGGGTCTGACGTAGCCTCTTCGGCGTTAACCTTGAACTTCAACCTCGACGCAGGCCGAGTGCCATTAGAAATGCGTCCCCCCTGTTTCCTCCCCCATTCACGGGGATGATCGATCGTGGCAAAAAATCGATCCGGGCGGTGGCACAAGAGCCGTGTACTTCGGTGTTTCTCTTCCCCTTTGTTAGCCAAGCTTTACGTAACGATATCAGTTAGGTTTCGCTCGGACCGATATCGTTCGCATCGGTCGTCAGGCGGATACACAATACGCGATATGCCTGGAGATGCACCGGAGCCTACATGCACGTGGACATACTTGCATTTTGCATAATTGCTTGCCCGTTACGTAAGCATTGTTTCTCCGTGACGATGATTGTCACCGTTGCGGAGGCCACATTTTCTACCTACATATGCTGTGGTCAAGGTCGCCGACTGCAGAAATTATAGTTACGGAGGTCTGTTCTGGACGAGGATGAATGGTGCATTGGGGCAGAAGGGTGAGATCTAGATATATTGCAATATATCTAGAATGTAGGAATCTACATTGGAGATCTAAGCACATAGTGTAGGGATATTTTGATTTAAGGGTAGTTTGAAGGATATAGGAATTTAGGAACATAGGGGTCTAGGAACATAGGGTAGAAGTCAAAGGATATAGGGTGCATAAGGATCTGTTCAGGAACATATTAATATTAATTTAAGTTCGATGAGAACATATGAAACAGCGAACAACGGGGAATTAGCGATACGAATGATTGAATATAAAAAATGCCAGCAATTCTTAAAAAATTCAAACCCTAATATTTTTAATTAACTCTTGAACAGTGGATGTGATCGAACATAAAATTACCTTACGTTAGCCTAATTGTGCAAATAAAAATATATAACCCTATAACTCATCCATTCTGCAAGGGTTAATTAAATTTCCACCTACCGTAAACGAAGTAAAACATTTTCTATTCGTGGTCATAGAGCGATCAGGAATCGAGCGTTCGATACAACCAAAGAGCAAGTGCAGTGAACGAAACCAAATCGATACCAAAAGTCGATCTATAAGGGCGGAAGCAGGTGGACAATCGTTTTTCCGTGTTTCGAGATGACGCGACGAGGGTATCGCGCGTGTTTCGCTTGAAAACGTATCTTGTACGAAGCGTGGAAGTAAACGAAGTAAAAGTGACTAGTGAAAGTAAGAAGATCAAGACGGGAAAGATGATGAAGAAGGAGAGACCGATGACGTCGGTGACGGCCATCATCCAGGGGACTCAGGCCCAGCATTGGTCCCGCGGCAACACTTGTATGTATACTTTGTTGTACTGAATCGATGCGTTCATCAAGATCCTTTGTATTCATTTATTGATTATCAGTATTGATTTGATGAGACTTTACTTATCAGTAGAAACTATGATTTGATGAAACTCTACATATCAGTAGAAATTAATATAATTTGATGACTTAAAATTACATCAAAATTGTACATGTGACACATCAATTTAAAGTTTAGGTTCCGAGGAAAGTGTCTGTAAAAGTTTCATTGATATTCTCGCTGTAGATGTCTAGTTGCAAGCTGAAGCAGATAACGATCGATTTCGAAACGAGTAAACGCAAGAGGAGACTATTCTTCGTTTTTCTACCAAATTACCAAAGTCATTGGCATTCTTACATCGTTAGTTTACGCAGGTTTCGCAACAGTTCAAGATAATGAAATACCGAGCAACATCGTATTTTGAAACTTTTTACAATCGTTCATAGCGACGTAGACCGAATATTTATGCAATTCGTGGAAACTTTCGTGCGAGTAGGCTAAGTTTAGTCGAAATTAAATTCCAAGCTTCTACTCGGGTTTTTGAAGTACAATTTTTGATTCCATCTGTGATATACGAATCGAACGATAGGAATATAATAGGTTAATTATAGCAGCCGTTCGTGCTGACTAAAATCGTCATCCGAAACAGTTCTCGTCTACTGAATATCAAGGTCTAATGGTACCTAAATGAGACCAGTCGTGTAAAACGTGCAAACGAATAATTAGCAGGATGGTGGCAGACGGACGTTTAGCACCGTTCTCAAGGCTGGTTCTTATCTATTCACAGTTCTGAAAATTGCCTCTGTTATAATTCTATTTCACAATAGTTGCGTTGTTTCCAAAAACGATAATGCAACGTTTCCTTGCATTTGAACAAATTGTGTTAATATCTCATATGCATATGTCCTGACATGAATACATCTGATTTTCCATAACATGAGTAAATCTAACCTAACCCTTTTTATGAATTGATCTAACCTAACCTTTTCTATGAATTCATCTAACCTAACCCTTTTTATGAATTCATCTAACCGAACCCTTTTTATGAATTTATCTAACGTAACCCTTTTTATGAATTCATCTAACCTAACCCTTTTTGCGAATTCATCTAACCTAACCTTTTTTATGAATTTATCTAACACAATCTTTTTTATGAATTCATCTAACCTAACCTAACCTGCTGTGATATGAATAAATCTGACCTAACCTAATCTGAAATGAATAAATCTAACCTAACCCTTTTTATAAATTGGTCTAACCTGACCTAACCTGTTGTGATATGAATAAATTTAACCTAACCTAATCTGAAATGAATAAATCTAACCTAACTCTTTTCATAAATTGGTCTAACCTGACCTAACCTATTGTGACATGAATAAATCTGATCTAACCTCATCTGAAATGAGTAAATCTAACCTAACCTTTTTATGAATAAATCTAACCTAACCTATTGTGATATGAATAAATCTGACCTAACCTAATCCAGTATGGGTAAATCTAACCTAACCTAATTTAAAACGAGTAACTCTAACTTAACCCAGTACAAGTCGATTTGAACTAACCTAACCCTAGATGAGTAAATGTGAATCAACCTAACATGAATACACTTGACCTAATCTAACCCTAACCTACTGCAAGTACATTAAACCTAACATAATATAAATAAATATAACATAACATATTACTCTAATATACTAATATTATTATAGTTTAACAAAAATCTACCGATGCACCGTCAACGACGATAAAAGAAAAAGGTAGCGAGGAACGATTCGAACTAAGCGATATTATTTATCGCAGGGGGGCATCGATATCTCGAACGAGAAGTGAGTCACGTTAATTCCGATATGCTCGCTCGTTGTTGCCCGGTGGCGGAATGTTTAACGTGCATACGCGCGCGTGCGCGTGCACCGACGATGTTAAACGGCGTCGCGTAGGGTGAAGGTCGGCTATTGAAACCTGAATGGTGCAATTCGCGAGCGAAAAGTGATGCGTGCGCAGCCGTCTAGGCAAGCGATCGCGTTATCAGTCGCGGCTTTAAAAGCGGCCTTACAGCTGCCTGCAAACGTTCGCCGCGAGAAGGTCACGCCAATGCGCTTCGTTATCTACACCCCTGCCACGATTTATGAGCCTTTTCGAGCGTTATCACGTGGCCCCTATTACGAACGAACCATCGTGCGTTTCTAGCTTTGCCCGGAGTTTTTTATTTTGCCCTTCTTTCCCTTTTTCTTGGGATTATGTCGACTGCATAATTGGGATATCAAGATTTGGATCCAAGTTCTGGAGTTTCAACTTCTGGGGAGCTTCAACTCTCTTTTGCTGGAGAGTGGAATTGTAAAGGGTTACTCTTTGATATTTGTGAACGAGGATATCTATTTAGAATAAAATCCTGGAAATACAATTTTGTTACTGAAATCATGGAACTCAACAAAGGCATCAAATTCAAGAATTCATAATTTTCCACATTTTTAATCTCACAAGACAAAATTAAAAGTACTCTATTTTTCTATATTTGCAAATCCCATGATTTCACAGTCCCGAAAGTCCCGAATTCCCCAGTTCCCGAAATAGTGAAATCACCAAATTTATTTGTAGATTTTTAAAAACGTGGTAAACCCATGTCCCATTGCCCGAAGCACACACCGTGCGATACGTAACGCGCATACACGTGCAGCAACGTTTGATAAGAGTACCAGTATCACGCGAGACTCTCGGAGCGGTTCGTGCTAGTTCGGTTAATCCACGCACCAGCACGATCGCAACCTTGGCACCGATGCGAACCAGCCGTGAAGTGCAGCCTCCGTCGCTGCGCGCCTTTACGAATTGCACGGTACACGTATACACACCTCTCTGCGGTGCCTGTGGTTTAGATTAGAGGCTTGTGTGGGCGTTGTTCGCTGCATGCGTTTTATCATAACATATATAATCTGCTATAATATATAGAACGCAAAACATACACCATATGCAGTAATATTTAAACTCTTGTTTCACATTAGCATTTTCGGGTTGGTTCATATTTTGGTTCGTGTGAAAACTTTGTGTTTATTCATTAAAATTAAATTTAACATTAAACGTTGGACGTTGAATGTTGAACATCGAACATTGAACATTGAACATTGAACATTGAACATTGAACATTGAACATTGAACATTGAACATTGAACATTGAACTTTGAACATTGAACATTGAATAATTAACATTGAACATTGAACAATTAACATTGAACATTGAACTTTGAACATTGGACAATTAACATTGAACATTGAACAATTAACATTGAACATTGAACAATTAACATTGAACATTGAACATTGAACATTGAACATTGAACATTGAACATTGAACATTGAACATTGAACATTGAACGTTGAACATTGAACTTTGAACATTGAACATTGAACAATTAACATTGAACATTGAACTTTGAACGTTGAACATTGAACGTTGAACATTGAACATTGAACTTTGAACATTGAACAATTAACATTAAACAATTAACATTGAACATTGAACATTATAAATTGCAAAGAATATACGTATTACACAATTGCATCTAATAATTTTAAAAAGTTTGTAGAAGCAAATGTTACGCAAGAACCGCACTTTGAAATAAGACACCTAGTATATAAACGATACTAAATTACATTGTTCAAAGACGATTGGTAATCAAGCTCCGATACGCTGAATGAACATTTTCTGCGATTCTGAATAAAGATTAGATCGCTGCGATCATCGAAATCGCAGCAGAAAGAGAGAGAGTGCAGCAATGCAAGCGCGATGCAGGAAGTGATCATTCATTGTAGTCACGTTGTCAGACATCGCGACGTGGCTAGTGACCGATTAGATGTATCTATTACGTGGATTCATCGGCATACGCAATCGTAACGGAATGATCATTGTGTTAATAAGTGATTCGAACATTTATTCGCACTTATAGTCAACTGTATTATTTATTCATGTACTTAATGTGTATGTTTATGCATGCATGGGGAGAGATTAGATTGTTCCTGGGTTCTTTAAGGTCTCAGTTATATCTCTCTAGATTCTATAGAAGCTCTGTAGGAGTTACTATTTTCTAGATTTTTTTGGTCCTCAGAAATTGAAGAGTCTTAATGCTTCTAAGGCCCAAAGTAGTGGCTAAGCGTACCTGAGTCTCAAGATTAAAATATTTCAATATTCCATAGCCGCAGAATAGCAAAGTTACTAAGTGAACAAATTGTGAAGTTCCAAAATTTTAAGGCCCAGAACTGCTAAGTCCCAAAGTTCCAAATTTGTGACGTCCCAAAGTTTATAAGATACAAAATTAAGTGGCTCAATGTACCTAAGTCTCAAGATTAAAATATCTCAATGTTCTTAAGTCCCAAAATAGCAAAGTCATTAGGTCCCAAAATTACAGAGTCATTAAGTGAAAAATTGCAAAGTTCCAAAGCTCTCAAGTCCTAAAATTGCAGTGTCCCAAAGCTCCCAAGTCCCAAAGCTCTCAAGTCCCAAAGCTTCCAAGTATCAAAGCTCTCAAGTCCCAAAGCTTCCAAGTTCCAAAGCTCTCAAGTCCCAATGCTTCCAAATCCCAAAGTTCTCAAGTCCCAAAGCTTCCAAGTTCCAAAGCTCTCAAGTCCCAAAGCTCTCAAATCCCAAAGCTCCCAAGTCCCAAAGCTTCCATGTCCCAAAGCTCTCAAGTCCCAAAGCTTCCAAGTCCCAAAGCTCCCAAGTCCCAAAGCTCCCAAGTCCCAAAGCTCCCAAGTCCCAAAGCTTCCAAGTATCAAAGCTCTCAAGTCCCAAAGCTTCCAAGTTCCAAAGCTCTCAAGTCCCAAAGCTTCCATGTCCCAAAGCTCTCAAGTCCCAAAGCTTCCAAGTCCCAAAGCTCCCAAGTCCCAAAGCTCCCAAGTCCCAAAGCTCCCAAGTCCCAAAGCTCCCAAGTCCCAAAGCTCCCAAGCACAAGGCCCAAAAATTCCAATATCCTAAAATCCAAAAAATTTTACCAGAATCTACA